GCGTTTGCTGTCGCATTTTATTTGTAGTGTGAACGAGCAGACAAAAAAATCAGATTTGACCAAAAAATCGGAATTGAGCATCAAGACCTGCAGTGTGAACGTAGCCTTAATGTCACATTATTTGATCTTTTTGCCTCATCTTTCAATCCTTCCTACCTGTCAAAGATGGAGCCAACTCCAGCACTGTGGGCGCTGCTTCTGTGGACGTGAAGACCCGTTGCCAGCAGGATACCGTCTTTTACCGTGACCGAGCGATGCGAGAATGATGCAATTAGTAGCTCGTTCCAGCCTGGACACAAAAAAGGAACAAAGAAAAACGAGTGACATCTCGATCCACTCATCTCTTTAAAGATTGTGTAAATTAAATACACAAAACATGTTCTGTGATTTTCCTGCTTGCTTAAAATTAATTATCCATTTTGTGACTTTTTCACTTTATCGTCCTGGCATGTGTTAAATCTCCTCCCAGCAGAGGTCAGCACTGGCAGCAAACTGCACTGCTGGGACTTGCAAATGGTCCAGTTATTTTGGTTTCACTGCTCCATTAAACTAGATGTTACACAAAAAAAAAAAAAAGACTTAAATAGACTGCTTGACATCAGCTCGACAACTACTCTGAATGAAAATACTACACAAAACGTGAGAGGGGGGGGAAAGGGAGGATAAAGGACTGTTTACCCTTGCAGGAAACTGCTGTGTATGAGTGTGTGGTCTGATGTTTGTGTGAGCATAAGCTTGCCGCATGCACTGCTTTGTGTTTGCGCGTCTACCTGCTCGTAGTAAGATGACCTGGTCATCGAGGGGGAGCTCGGAGAAGTGCGGGATCCTTTTCGCCCACTCCACCAAGGTGAAAAGCTGTTTGTCTGCTGCTTGGCAGATATTGGTGACAGGGTCATTGGTCTGGAGAAGAAAATGTAGGACAAGTGCCAGACCGGTTTAATGTGATTGGAAGCACTGTTAGTGACATCTAAACTTTTCCTAGCAACCGCTGGTAACCAGGTGCAACATATTTCTGACTCTTTTTAAACCAACAATTTCCTCTCGTTGCTTGCGGTAGTTTTAATACAACCCTAAATTCTACATACCAAAGAAGAAGAAATATCTTGAAGCACAAGTTCCACACAGCTTTTAAATTGTAGCTCTGTTACCCAACCTCTAGGTTTTTAAATTCATTTAAGTCCTTGAGCTCATACCCAGTAAATTGCCAGATCAGTGTTTACTTAATTTGTTTACCAACGTCTCAGATTTAAGAGTTCGTTTTGGACCAGAGCAACTCGGCAGCTCAGCTACATCATCTCAACAGATTAACCCAGGAGATTATGACAACCGCACAAAGTAGCTTGTCACAATTTTGGAGCAAAGCCTAGATTTATTCCCATAAACTCCTCAGCTTGTGTTATTTATATTCAACTGACCCAATTCCATCCGGTCCAAGCTTCACACTCAAAACTATTTAGCCAAGCTTGTGTGTTTATGTTTATAATAAGATCAGTGTATCTTAATAGCACAGCATCTTGGCATCTAGTTTCTCCCCAGAAAAACAGCCTCAGATTCATAATACAAGCAGTGAAAGAGACATGGACCAGTGTCTGTATTAATTACCGAGTTCCCGGGGCTGCCGTCGCTGTACGTCTCTGTTTTGGGTTCTACAGCCAACTCGGCATCTAGGATCTTGTCCACGGGCATGTCCTCGTTGAAACTGCTGGTGGATTCTACCTCATTCTCACCCCGCTCTTTCCCACGCTGCCTCTCTTCCTGCACCGCTGCACACAGACACACAAAAAAACCACACAGCATATAAACGTCCTGAATTGGTGACTAGAAAATCCGTAATATTAGCAGATAACTCACCCCCCCCCCAATGGCGACAGATAGCTGCCCCTCTGCCATGAGTAGGGATGGGTACCGGTATCCGGTGCCATGATGGCACTGGTTCTGACATAAACGGTAGTAACCAGACTGGAAAGCAGCGCACATTTCGGTGCTTTATTTTCATGAGCTGTGATACACTTTAGATTCTAGCCAATCAT